GTTTGACACCCACGAGCGCATTTCTAAGCCAGCACGAGAGTGCACGTCTATTATATCACGAGCCAATTTTGATGCTATTTGCACGTTATTCAGGCTACCTAAATAATCATCCATATAGTGATTGGTCACAATCTCTTCAACTGCTAAAGGAAAATCAGATCGATAATGTTCTGCATTAAGGTTTTTTAAGTAAATCGCCGTAAAAGGACTTGAAACGGCTCCAAAAATCATCGAAGACATTCGGAAGGTGCTAATGGGACCCTGAGGAGTACTACGCCACAAAAATCTTTGTGCATCTCGATCTTCCTCCCTAATTTTTGTTTGAGGAAACATCTCCCGAATATCCGCGTTTAGCGCTACTAAACCCTCTCTAAATCTCATAAGAATACTTAGCAAAGGTTGTAAGAGATCGGGACCAGCCAATAACAAGGAGTTGAGACTCACACCCATAGCTTTAGCAGCGGCATCAAAAACGACCCGTAATTTGTTCTTTTGTGGATGAAAAACCCCAAAGTGCGGCAAGTACCAAGTGATACCGTCAGAGCTAGGTATGGAATCACAGGGTTCTGCGTAACCCTTTTTAATAGTGCTCTCTATATTATCACGGTAAAGCTTCGCGTAGACCGGATCTTTTAAAAATTTCCTTTCAAGAGATTTAAAACGTGAAAGCGCTAAATTGTAGCTTTCTGGTACATGTAAATCATCGGCACACCATAACAAACCAGTAGAGAAACGACCTGAAGGCAAACGACGTGTAGTTTTTCCCAAAATATTGTACGCACGTTTAACATCGTCTGAATAAAAATCTTTTTTAGTAATACCAATTGAATCCAAACTGTAATATTCTTTGATCAATTCATCCAGAGAGTTATCTTTAGAATAGCAACTTTGACATGCATAAAAGGACGACGATGTAGTCACGTGATTAACGATTTCAACCGGATTAGTTCGACTGGATGTAAACCCGAATAACACCCAGCCCAACAAGGTTTGTACCGCTACTGGTTGATCACGTGGGCCTTGCCGTATCGCTAATGGAATAACTAGATGCCAATTATCAGCACCAATTAAAACAGTTGGAGTCGCGTTCTCGTAGCACAATCCTGGAGCAATATCAGTCAAGTGTGCGAAACCTTTGATATCCTGTGAGCGAATTGATTGAGGACGTAAATCTAAATTAGAAATAGCCCGAGCGTTTTTAATTACATGTATGTCCGTGCTATTTCGGCCCTTGACTGATAACTCCACGAAACTAACTACGGTCTCCATTGAAAGTCCACCTATACAGTTGACTTTCAATGAAGAAGTAGGACCTAACGCTCCAATGGTAGTTGCGACCTTTTTATCAATTAACGTTGCCGTAGAACCGTCGTCTAACAAGGCATACGTATTCACACTACCTAGAGGACCGGAAACTATGATAGGCACCACTTTAAGTAAGACTGGCGATGATCGCGGACCGTCTGCAAAAGAATGGGAAACAGACTCATCCACGACTACCCTTTGCGTTGAATTTTGTGTTCCAGAAGTAGAAGGCACACAATCAATATGCTGCGTAGTTGTCAGGTCTCGATGTAAAATCGTGTGATGACTACGAGGTCGCTGACAGTTGGATGCCTTACAAAAAGGTTGCCGTCTACATGTGTACACATTATGTGTAGCCGGCCTAAGACACTTTCTACAAATTTTATTTTTCATAATAAACTGCCATTTATCATCAATAGTCATCAAACGGAACTTCTCGCAGTTATTCAAAACATGACAACCATTTCTACAAAAAACACACTGGGCAACCACGGAGTTCCCAGACTTTTCAGGTAATGTTGGTACTGTCGCCATTCTATGAGAAGATGTCAAAGAGACTGAACGCGATGTACCAACATGTACAAACTCCTTGTCCGAAAACTCGCCAGCGGTAGCGGTGTCGTCTATGGCATGAATTTTGACATTCTTGTCAAATTTATTTTTATCTGTATGAAAATGAATATCTTTTTCAGGAATAAAAGCTAACTGAGAATGCAAATTAATTTCATGAGAAAGATAATCTGCCATAAGCTCTAACTTAGCCTTGCCAACGTGAAGCTTGGGAGCTGCATAATCGACAAAACGAGCTCGTAGCATAGGTGTAAGTTTTGACAGGATCGCGGTGTAAAGTTCAGGCGACGACAAAAATTCAGGTCGCTGCAAAAGCTTGATTGTTTCCACGCAGTTTCTAATTTTTGATGCAAAGCTATTAAGATCTTTACCAACTTCGTTAGGAAGCTTAGGTAGAGCTCTAATGGCAGCTATCTCATGCAAAACAATCAAATCAGGCTGTGCAAATCTTCGCTGAAGCTCCACCATGACGTCATCTGGATCCTGTGCAGAAACGATTAGCGTAGCAACAGCCTCCCGCGCTGCACCACGAAGCGCTGTGTTCAGCCGCGCTAAATTGGCTGCAGAAGAAAACGATGCCTTCGAATCTTCATACAGCTTCTTAAAAAGAAGCCACTCACTAACGCGACCATCGTATAAGGGCAACTTAATGTCTAAAACTTTATTAAAAGACTCACCAACTTTTGCTTCTGTGAGCTTGCCCAAGATCTGCGTGAGCGTCTGCTTGTAGTCTTGATCGTGTGTATCCTGACTACTATCATAGACTTTATTTTGTGTACAATTTTGTGTATGTGTGCCTAAATTTTCTAGTGAAACATGTGCTTGTAGAGGTGGCGGCGGCGGCGGAAAAACAGGACGTGCCCGCTGTCGCTGTGATTTCTCCGAATTAACTGATGAACCTGAAAATAATACTTTAGTATTGTCCAACCAGTGTGCCACTTTACTGTGGCTGGAGGCCTCACTCTTACGCGAGGCAGCCTCAATAGCAGCGAGCTCAGCCTGTAGCTCGAGTTCAGCTACGGCGCGCTCACGCTCAGCAGCGGCGCGCTCTCTCTCAGCAGCGGCGCGCTCTCTCTCAGCAGCGGCGCGCTCTCTCTCTCTCTCTCTCTCAGCAGCGGCACGCTCTCTCTCCTCCTCCACGAGCGCAAGTCGTCGGGCATGTTTCACCTTGGCCGCGAGCTGTAGTGCCGTAGTGCTTGCGGTTGAGCTCGTAACAGACAAAGAGCGTGAAGGATTAGGCGGACAAAGCACACTGCTTTCGGCAGTGACTTGAACAACTGTCCCCGATGACCCCGCGGTACCTGCATGAACCGCAGTTGAGGCTGGAGACTCCCTCACAACAGTTTGCTCTTCGGCTTTGCCGGTCTGACTGCGAGTAACAACCATTTCACAAACACAATAAAAAACACACACCACAACCTTACCAAAACAATAAAAATTCACACACGTAACACGCACATACTTTATAAATTAGAAATTATCATTAAAATATCATAACAAAACACTCTGACACCATAAATGATAATAATTGCAAAATAAAATTCCGTGGGTTTCGATATTTTTCTATAATGACAATCATAAAAACAAAATACAATAGAAAATATTAAAAATATAAAAAGTATACAAAAACTATATAAAAAGTTCCACTATCGTCGTCGTCGGCAACAGGGGTGTCGTTGAATGGGTGTTTTAAAATCATCTTTAGGTTCCTTTTATCATTTTTCATTTTAAATAATAGTTTAGGATATATAACGATTTAAAGTTGTTTATCAAAACATTCTCGCTAATTTTCTTACGTATTGATTAAAGTTTTTATTTAAAGTATAAAGTATACAGTGAAAAAGCACGAAGAACAAATATTTTTGGTAAAAGAATAAAGCATATGTAGCTTTGAGCCGAGTTAGGTCTCTAGAGGGACTAATTATCAGTAGTTTAGACCACCGCAAGGTACTTAATAATCCCCACGATATTAACTCCCTCAATGAAATAACTTGATTGCGAAATTTACCATCTTATAACGAAGTCAACGAATAGTAACTAAAAAGTATAAAATGAAAATAAATAATTTAAAGAAAAACAAAACTACGACTACGTAAAATCGAATTTAAAAAAATACATGAAAGAATTAACTTAAATAAACACTAAAAAGAAAGAAACAAGCCCAGTAGTTTAGAAGATTTGATTGGTAAAATTTGAATGGGCTCCGACTATGAGTCGTTCTGTTCTGTATTACTTAACAGAATTCTAAACTACTGGGCTTGTTTCTTTTTTTTTAGGTTTTATTTAAGTTAATTCTTTTATGTATTTTTTTAAATTCGATTTTACATAGTCGTGGTTTTGTTTTTCTTTAAATTATTTATTTTTTTCTATATTGTTTCAAAGTTTGAGAATCAGTAGTTTCAGAGATGAGGAGGGGGGAAGATGGTGAATTTTATCTATTTTAACATCAAAACTATTTAAATCATTTTTAGATGATGAAAAAACTAGTAATATTTTATTTTTTAAGGAAGGAGATTTTTCTTTTCAAACTTTTCTATATTCTATTGGGTATTGTAGAACCTACCTCATTTCAAACGCTAACGCTTTAATTACTTAACTTCGAATCTGATTAATGCATGTGACAACTTGGACCGTGCCATGTAGGTATTAAATTAATACCTTCGTTACACGGTCGTCTTTGAGTAATTATCTTATATGTGTCAAATTGTAGCTCAATTGCTACACGCAGAAACAGAGTAAATACAGAGCATATCAACTCTGAAACTCAATTTACAATTAACTTAAAAAATATAAGTATGTACCGTAAAAAAGACCTCACAGTAGTCCAATACTTTAGCCTTTAACCGAAATCGTTATCGTTTATCGCTTTTTGTATGTTAAGTAATGACTGTAAGGTGTTCTGTGTACCTAATAAATAAATAATAAAAAAGGATCATGGATTAATTTTGATTTTGGCCCATTGTAATAAAAGCTCATAATATAGTCCCTGAATAACGTAAGATAATAATTAGTACAAAATTTAATCTTACTGGAAATTTTAAAATATTTGTAAAAATATTTCTTTCGGCTGTTCTTTCTCTATGAAGTTCAATATTAAGTGACTTATTTTTCTTTTATTACCGTAGGTCACAAAGATTCGTGCTCCGACGAGAGTAAGCCGCACGAAATAAAACCGAACATAGAGAGGTCGCACCATGCGCTCGGGGCGCGCCTGCACATCGCACACAACATCAGGGCCGATCACTTGCAAGGTATGCTCACGAACCGCCTCGACATACCACGAAGAATCAAGGTTAAAAAGGCGTTTGGCCTACTTGGCGGGGTACTCTCACCCCGGGAGACTCAGGTATACGCTAAGTCTCTCAAGACAGATGAAAACGTTCATTACGGGGTCAATTTTCACTTTCCCCGCTGTTTACAGTTATTACGAGTAGACATACTTTAGTACTTGCGTCTACCTCGTTACTATGGCAAATAATTTTAATACTCTTACCCAGCGGTAGTAAGAGTTGGTAACTGACGTCACGCGTCCGCTAACCAGTCACTCGCCGCACACTACTGCATTTGGCGAAAACTTAATGTTGAGAAAATAGGTTTTATTCATACCCCACCCCACTGGCGAAAGGAGGAGTATATGAGTATGAGGCAAGTATTTCCAATTCTGGAAAATAGAAAAATAAAAAAAGACGTGCTACACAGATTGTCAAACATTCGGTCGTCCTCCTAGTTTCAAAGAGATTTTGTTTCGTTCTGCAGATCAGTCAAATCATAAGGCACCCATTTTTTGTATTTAATTGATTTTACGCAAATGAATCAATATTATGGGTAAGGTAATGTTAAACCATGCCGCTAATTTCTGGGTAGTTTGACTAGGATCAGCTTCCACCATCTGTCTTAATTCATCGTAATTCACCTGCGTGGGCGGTGTTCCTCGTGGCTCGTTCTTCAAGTCGAAGTTTCCATCACGAAAGCGTTTAAACTAAAATCGCACGGTGCGTTCATAAGCCCCCTCTCCAGACGCAATATAGATATTGCGGGCTGTTTCTGAGGCGTTACTTTGGCGTTGGAACTCGTATTCAAAAATCACTTGAATTTTCGCAGTATCCATCTATCTTCATTGTCTAAGTTGAATAAAAAAACAATTGAAAGTCGATATTCAAATGTTTCACATTTTTTTAAAAGAAGAACATCATAGAGACTATGTGAAAAAGTTTATTTCGAAAACCTTAAACCATGAAGATTCTGTGTCAATTCAAGGAACCTATTACAATAAAACGGCAATTTCATCCTTTAACCCTTAATATATGTACTATGTTATGTTTTTGGTGGGATTCTTTATACTGAGTTTCTTGGTAAATGAAGATAGAGAATGCTAGTTTCTCAGTTGTGGTAATTATTACTATTACACACTGATGGGTACCTTAGTTATCTTTACCATTTTTTTATGAAAATAATCCATTCGATGGAAAAAATTACAAGCTGCATCTACTGGTAAATATAATTTAATTTTTGTAAGAAATTATCAGTTTGTTTGTAAGAATAGGTTTTACCAGCATACTCTCCGACCAACACCCGCTGTGGGATAACTTCGGTGGGGGAAGGGTTCGGGATCCAGCAAGGAGCCCGTTGGATCAATATAATTATTATTTCGAATGAACTAATTAATGTTATACTTGTTATCCAGGTGGCATCCACCAGCCGCACAGTGGGGCGCATATGGCCACAGTGCCAGTCAGCATGTCTTCCTCAGCATCAGACAGTGATAAACCGGCTAAGCAGAAGAGGCATCGAACCAGGTATCAATATCGACATTATATACACACATACATTAATAAAGCGGAAGAGCTTAAAACTATGTAGATAAGTGAAGGAAATAATCATGTGGCATGTCGGCTTATACCAAGATCGTTGTTCATTCCATATCCATCGTGAGAACATCATAAAAAATGAAAATAATTTTGGGAAAACATTTTTTGTAAAGACAAAGACAAATCATGACGTAATAAATAACAAGATCTTTCTTAATTTTAATTAAATCTATCAGTACTATTTTATAACACAAGAAAACTAAATTTATATGAATATATTTTGATAAGCGTGTGTTTAGCGTATATGAATTCATATCTATTTACCTAGGTTTACACCAGCACAACTGAACGAGCTAGAGCGATGTTTCTCGAAGACACATTATCCTGATATATTCATGAGGGAAGAAATCGCTATGCGGATCGGTCTTACGGAGAGTAGAGTTCAGGTTGGTAAATATATTGTTTATTTGGCTTTGTAAATAAGTTAGAGTTGGCACATATGCAACAATATCATAATATTCAATCGTTAGTAAATTATTGCATTACATCATGGGGTGGAGTGTCAAAAACGAATCTCCTTCAACTTGAGAGAGCTCATAGAGCCATTTTGAAGGTTAGTGCTGGCCTCACCTATCGCTTTCCTACAAATAAATTGTATGAAAAGTGGGATGTTCTCTCAATAAGACAATCTTTTATACTACAAACTACTCTTAAAAAACATTCGCAAATCATTTATGACCCTCATCTTAATAAGGATAAGCGCCGTAAGAATAAAGTTTGCTCTGTTCAATCTTGTAACTCAAGCCATGCACAACAGTTTTTTACATTTCTCGGTCCATTCATTTACAATAAATTAAATAAAACCTTAAATATATATCCCATGCATAGAATCAATTGTAAAAAAACGGTATCCAAGTGGCTGAAAACATTGAATTATGATGACACTGAAGATTTTATTCTTCCATCATTATAAGGATTTCTAATTGTCCAATTCTTTTAATTAAGCATAAAAAGTCTGTGAATATTATTCATTGGGAGTTACTGAAACTGCGTCAATTTTGTGAGGATTGTATTATAATAATGTAGTGTAAGCCTTGATACTATTAAAGTAGTAGTATTAATATCCGCGGGAAGGAGCGCTGGTGACCTGTGTAACGGGTCTTGTAAAAAAGACCTATTTCAGACACCAGCTCTTCACAATACGGATATATACATAAAATTTATAATTTCTTTATTATTCTAAGAAAACTATTGTGAAGAGTAAATAAATAAATTATTATTATAAATAAATTATTATTATTATTATACAGCAATTTTTCTACAAAAAAATAAACTATAAATGAAAATGTTCTGAAGTTAATATGGTTGGTTACACTTGTATAGTACATACATAGTGAGCGACCTAGAAATGTCGGATTTTAATGAAAAGCTTTTTTTATATTTTTGAGCTATGTGTTTCAATAGCTCCTATAAGAGTTATTAATTAATATTTAATCGTTGTATCGTCTAGAAGACCGAGGTCATGGTAAGATTGATTACGTAGTTTTGGAAAAAAAAATTGAACAATTTGGCAGCTAACAGGTATTCGATTTATAAATATTAGCACCTCGATTTTTTTATTCACTATCGATTTATTGCGATAGCCCTTGTTAAGACCGTGTATTTGATATATTTCACACTTATATGCCAAAAGAAGAATAAAAATATTGATATTACGAAAATATTAACATTTGATATTGGAATTCATAGAAAATCTACAATTCAATAATACATAGACGGGTGTACATAGCAAAATGTGCTTAAATCAACCAGACATTTGAGATATTGATAATATTGCTACACATAAATTTATGGATGTATTTATAAATCAAATCAAGTTATTTATTGGCCATATAACTCAGATAGTGATACTCGGCAAGTCTTATACATTAAACATTTCAAATGAAATCATACATCTCAAATCATTACAGGAATTTCTTGAAGTTAAAGTATTTTCACAATGTCAAGTAGATTATTTTTATAATTCATAATAATCAATTAAATTACATTACTACAAATGAAATTATATTGAAGAGTGAAAAATATTATACATAATTTTATGTCATCTATTATTGATGATTGCTGTAACATGTAATCTACCAAAGAGATCTAGTCAGTTTATCCTATCGAGTAAAATCTTATTAGAAGCATAGTGAAAGGAGAATGTTTTTTTTTTGGTACTTTATTCCAAAAAAAATCTAACCACTATTAAAAAAAAATATCATAGCACCTAGACTCAATTTTTATCATCCATCAAAGTTTCAGGCCTGAAAGTTCCCCCGTTTTAGAGAATAAAATTAAAAAAATTGGTATGGTTTACCTAGAAATACTAGTATTTACAGCCATAAAACTCGTTTTAAAAAACAAAACCCAGAAAATTATAACAGACGCATAGGGAACTTTGTTCATAGCCTAGCTCTCGGTAGGGTACTTTGGGAATTAGTAGGGTAATTATGAATGTTGGGAAATTCCGTTAATAAAATTAAACAACAAATAACATGTTTCTTGTAATAAAAATTTTTAGAGCACTCAAGTGTTGCTACATAAATTATAAAAAAGATGTTCAGAAAAAAATAAATATTTTGGCGGCGCTTAAAAAATAAAACAAAATGATTATATGTAAGGTTTATTTACCCTCTATCGATTAATATATACTTTATGCTTGGTTAGGGATAATTTGAATAAAGTACCAGTCTCCATACAAAATAATTTGAATAAAGTACAAATTCTCCTTTATTAGATTTATTTAATGGAAATAATGTATTGATGGTGGAATGTTATATCCATTAATTATTAACATAAACGTCTACTAACATCTTCCTGATGAGGCACTGGTCCCATAGAGAAGAGAAATACATAGGAAATGATAGCATCGAAAAATGAAACTTTTAAATATCATCAAAATGACTTTTTTATAGTAATTATTAATTTATTTAGCTCTAGAATTACGTTTATACTCCGACCCGTTACGCAACATCCGTTGTGCGATATAATCACAATAAAACATTGGACGTGTTAAAAAGCGGTCTCAGAGTACCACCTTGCGAGACACCCCTCTTCGCACGTTCCATACAAAAGTTGCACTGTATCGATACATTTCACAGGACCTTCTACCTGATTCAACCTTCGTGTTGCACGTATAAAACACTTTTACGTTTGAGTTATGACTGTTTAAGAGCCTCGTGAATGGGTGGCCGATATTGTCAGACGCTTTAGTCAATTTTATTTCATTGCAATATAAGCTTCAGTGTTATGGGCATTTTATGCGACTTACCTATTGAATGTTTTGTCTTGGCATTGTAATAAAACTGGAAAACGTGTTTTCTTTATTATAGTGTTTTGCTTTATGTATAACGGTTATAGACACTTTACAGTTATTTTTAACTTCCAAAATGTGTAAAATTATTACAAGTTTAACTTGGCAGGGAATGAGTTCTTTTTGTTTTTATTAGTTGAGCAATTATTTTCTTATAAACATTGGGTGTGTTAAGCTACCTAGTGGGCTTTGAAAAGACTTACAAAGGAAAACATGTTAAATGTTGCTTTGCAAACAGTTTTTGTCGATCATAAATTATCTAAATCTATTGGTCTACTAACTTGAACAGTAATATGCTAACAGCTACTTTGTCCAAGCACTTAGTTTCAAGTTAAATCGTACTTTACATTAGACGTTAGTCTTAATTTGTGTCGTGTGTTCACTAATATTTGTATTTCGTTAACACTCGAGACATACTACCGTGTAGGAGTTGCAGCATATTTCGGAAGCATACGTTACGTGTTGAAGAGACAGTTCCATGATAACAAATAATTTATTTTCATAAGTATTTCGGGACTAATCATGAAAAATTGGTGCAATGAAAAATAGCTATTCATTCATTAATTCATTTTTTACAATTTAGGTGATAGACACAAAATAAGTAACTTTATATCTTCCTTTATGTAAGGTTTTTATTAATCTCTAATATATTAAATGGTTAATTGCCTTTAAGTACGTTATACGAAAATATTGCAAAGATGCTTGTTTTTCTTTAGAGCAGTATGTTCTATCTAGTATAAAACCTATAATGTAATCCGTGAAAATTACCGATGGATCGTGAAGCCAAGCTTCTGTTCGATGTGATGATTGTTCATTTCACATAGGTATAAACACTTCGTAGACAACATCGTTTAAATGAGTTAATTAAATATTCTGCTTTTAAAATTGAACAAAATAATATTAGATAATAAAATGTTCTTACTAGCCATTAATCATGAGATTTAGCAAGCAACGTGTTATATGAAAGAAGGTGAATCAAACTTTTGTATTTGGCCTGCAAGAAAAAGAAAAATTGGTTTAATTGGTACGCAGTTGGTCATATCGCGACTTACGTCACTGTGTAGGGACAACAGTTCTTTAATAGAAAAGTTAAGTTTGTATGTATCTCCATCCAGTTTCATTATCTTCTATTTTCGTATAGATAATGATATTGTTTTGATATTTAATGAACTTTATTAATTATATGTTTTGTTGACTGATTTTGGGGAAAATCAAAATATTTCAATTCTATTTATGGCTGTATCACAATATACATATTATTAATATAATAAGTATGTAGGTACTATTACTATCAGTACACTTTAAAAAATTGCATTATCAATCTTTGTATTAAATAAATACTTGAATTTACAGTCTTGTGATTATTTACTACTATTCTTCCTAGTTCCTCACATTTGTTCAACTGTTCTTAGCATAAGCGCTTGTTTGTCACCAATGCCGAGTATTGGATTTCAATAATTTCTCCAAAGTTAAAATCTATTTATTATAATAATATGTGTTTTATTTTCAATTTCATAGTTTCTTAAAGTTATGTTAAAGTCTAAAATAAAAAAGATGTAAAAAAGAAAAAAAAGGGAAGTTAATGTTTTTGTTAAATCAATTTTGATAAAATATGCGTAAATAGTTAAAACAGATACTGAAAAAGCTTTGCGTTTACCTATATTAGTTTTCTTTGAAAACCTCTTGAATGTCATATATGTTAACGGAAACATAATAAGAGTCGTGTATTCCAAGTAAAATAGAGGCGACAAGCAACCTCTACCAAAAATAGTCGACGAAGTAAATATTACGATAGAAAAAAAGAATCTAAGTGTGGCGTTGGAAAAAAGTCTTGCGCAAAGAATCTCGCGGTGTGGCGCGAAGTGAGGGCAGATATGAGGCAAAACGAACAAAATGGACGTTTGTTTGATCGCCTGTGGCTGGTCTGGGTGGCTACTGTTGGGTTTATGTTGGAATACGGATGGTGGATGCGTAGAACAATAATAGCTTTATGTTAGGCTTTATTAAATATTGGACTATAATAATCTCTTTTTAAAACAAGTTAGAGGCAATAAATATTAATAGAGGCACTATAAATTGACAGAAACATGT